GCGTGCCTGCTCTGATGTTGGCCAGTTGCGTGACGCGCGCGGCCGCGCGGCTCTCCTCGGCCGCGACGGCGCTCGCGGCTGTCGCGCCCGTTGTCCGTGGCGCCGCGCATGATGGAGTCGCCTGGAGACGCTTGTCCAGCAGCGCGCAGGCGCGGTACTGGTAGTGGATGCACGTTTTGCCCTGCGCCCATCCCGCAGGGCGCGCCCCGCCCTTGCGGCGCCTTCCGAGGCAAGGGAAGTGGGCACCCTCCTCGGCGAAGGTCGCTCCGCTCTGGGTGGGCTTTGGCGGGGGAGGCAACGTGCTTGGGATCGGCGGCATGTCGGCTGCGTTCTGGCTGCGTGGGATCGGCTGCCGTCGCGGGCAGCGCGCCACCACTACCTTGTTCGTTGCTTTGACTTGTGCGGGCCGGCCAGGCGCTGCTCGCATCGCCCCGAGAGTCAGTCGTCGGCGTTGGTCGCTGGTCTCGGCCGAGAGAATCGCATGGCCAAGCTTCGTCTTGGGCCATCACACCTGTTCAGCCGGCCTCGAGGCGGCGGCCCTCGCCCGGCCCTCGTCGAGGTTCACGCCCGGCAACGTCGCGGGGTAGCCATTTGGCTTCGCTTGGCACCTGCACATTCGATGCCCTGTCTACCTTGTCGACGCACGCGAGGTGCCCAGCGGCTTGCTTTCACCCCATTCATGTACTCGGCGGACCATGCTTACTAGTCAGCCTCGGCGAGGTCGCCCCAGACGTGGTCGTTGCATGGCAGTGCGGAAAGAGAACCATTGTAGAAAACTGTTTTGTCTGTCGAGGTGTCTTTCCGCTGTTTTCGCTGTGGCCCCCTGCGCGCCATTGCCTCGTCGGCCCTCCTCTTAATACCCGGCCCCTTCGTGGCAGCGGCGGCAATTGGCGTGCCCAGGGCCGCCCGCGAGTCGACCAGCGCTGGGCATGCTGACGACGCCATCCACGGCCACGTGCCCTTTGGTGGTCCGTGAGCCTGCGCCGCTCAGCAACATCCTGATACTGGTCTTGTCGGCGTCGAATCACACTCTGGATTCCACGACCTCCAGAAGCGCGGTCGCCGCGGTCACAGCCTGGCCGGAGGTCGCGGCGTTTAGGTCGTCTACAGAAGAGGCATCCGTTAGGCAACCAGCGCCGTCGTGCCCGGGGCTGGCCTGTCAGCCCCGCGCAATGGTTGGCTGCTGCGCGCTGTCGCGGTCGACTTTGCAGAGGACCTCCTGCTCGGCCATGCCCTCGGCGGTGGCCTTGGTGCGCGCTCGAGGGCGGCGTTGAATAATAAATCCGACATTGGCACCCCCCCGGTCGGACGCCTGCTCGTGGCTGCGCCATCTGGTTGGATCAACTCGCCGTCGCGCACAGGTCTGCGCCGGCGTCTCTCAGGGGCGCTATGGAGTGCTCATGGTCGACGTTGTCGACGACGCAGGGCGCGCCGCGCATGACGCCCTCGAGAAGAGGCTGCAATGCCTCGCGCAGGCCGGCGGATTGCCACTAAGGAAACTCGAGCACCACCGCTTCTATATATAAATACATATATATATATATATATACAGAGAGAAAGATGTGCAAATATGCAACCAAATAATCCCTACGCCCATTGGGAGAAGGCACATGCCACCAGGGCCCGGCACGCGCGGGGGCGGCCCAGGCCGCGCGGCGCCCTACCGCACGCGCGCGCGCAGGCGGCGACTGAGGCCGACGCGTCAGGGAGTCGCGCGAACTCGCGGGAGGGGCCCATCGGCTCGCGGGCGAAGACCTTCAGTTCCCGCTGGGGCTGTCAAGGGGGCAGCCTCTGCAACCCGCCCATGCAAACGACCCCCCTTCGGCGGGGAACAGCGCGCTTAAACCCGGGCGAAACGCCGCCACTCCCCACCGAAAAAGGGCAGGTCCGCCGGAAGGCCCGCTCGCGGGCCCCTGACGCCCCCCAACTGCCGCGCCGGTGATGCAGGGGCCCCCAAGCCGCGAACCCGCGGGCAGCAAAAATTCTGCCGCGCCCAGCATTGCCGAACCGTTCGCCCGACCACGTTGGGCGGCAACGCCGCGCGCACTATCGACGCGCGCCAATTCCCGGCGTGGGCGGGCGAGCAAAGTGGCCCCAGCTCGGTGGGAGCGGGGGTGGTCCTACCGAACATGAGAAATAGCACCCCGCTGGTACTTCGATGCCTCATGATGTTGACGTAGATCAGGGTAGCATGCGCCGCGGAGTCGGTGCCCCCGTTGCGCCGTGCTCCGCGCTGAACAAGCAATGGCGCTGCAGTGGTCTGCGATAGCTTCGCCCGAAGGTACCCGCGGTGATACTAGGCAACCGCGGTCTCCCATCGGGTCACACCCTGTCTCCGAGATGTCCGTTGCGGATTCTCGGCGAATGACGCCTGCCACCCGTCCTTCTTGGAGCGGGTTTCGACAAGTGGCCATATGCGACTCAGCAAGCAGCGGGCGGGACAGTCGCGCCATTTCCAGACTGGCGGTTCGGCGCATGCCGTCCATGAGGTTGTCTGGCCACCCTTGCCCGTTGGATCTGGCGCCCTGGCAGCTGGCGCCCAGCTCGCCCACGGTGACAACGTGGACAACGTTGACACGATGCCCGACGTTCTCTTTCGCGCGCTCGCGCGCACATTGTCGACGACCTCCGGGCGGCGATGCGTTGGCGCGGTCAGCGGTGGGAAAGTGGCGTAGCTCCGCCACTGCCCGAGCACGTTCGAAGGCGATGGGCTCGCCGTCGGCGTCGACGGCGGAGCGGTGCTCAGTCAACATTCGCGGGGTCGCTAACAATATCGCAGCAGACGTTCGACCCGTCCCGTTTCACGGTTGCGTCCTTGCTACCGGTCGCATCCTTGACGTTGCATGCGTAGACGCAGAAAGCTCGCCCTCGTCGGCTCGCATCCTCGACGCAACCTTTCGCTTGGATTGCTGCAGGAAGGCGTTGACGGGAGGTTGCAGCTCGACCTGCTCCACATGGCGACGCACCGCTCAAAGCCCCGCGAAAATAAAGCTTATCAGCGTCGTCGGGCCTTGCATGGCGCCTGTTGCAATTTCAGCATGCTGCGATGCGAGCTTGGTCGCCCCGGCACGGCCGCTGGCCAGAAATGGGCGCGCCCTCCCATGATCGGCAAAATCTTTGGCACGCTCGCCGTGCACACAGCAGTGCATATGCGACGTCGGCGATGCACGGTTTCCGTACCCGCGCCGCCTCGTGCTTGAAGGCTTTCTCCGCTGTCTCCCTGACCTTCTCGTTGAGGCGGGGGTGCACGTCGATCTTTCCTGTTGTTTCGGGTTGCCGCAGCATCGCCACGTGGGTCTGCTCCATTATGACGGGCAGGTGGTTTGTGCCCCCCCCACCCTCGCCCGAACCATGTCGATGTTGTCTATGGTCGCGCCGTCCTTCATGATGCAGGCCGGCGTGGCGACGTAACCGATGCGGCAAATCGTGTTGCCCTATTTCTGCACGTGTATACTGGTCCTTTGCGCCCAAAATCTGCGCTGACGGCCGTGATATGAAAGCACCGAGGCGCTAGTGGAAGCGGCTGTCGGCGTCGTTTTCCTCGAACCTCCCTCCCCAGCCCCCGATGGAGTTCGAGACGATGCCCCCTGTTAATGCACCCGCGTCAGTCAAGGTGCAGCGTGCTGCTACTGAGGTCTGCCCTGGAAGCGTCGCCCGATTCGTCTCCAGAGTGGAATTTCGCGGCACGTGCGACTGCCACACCGTTCGACGCAGCAGTCGGTGCGGAAATTCGCACGACGAGCATCCTTGGGTTCTGGTGCAGCACATTTGTACTTAGCGTCGGGCAGATCGACGTTGACAAGCAGAGACCACCCCAAATTACAATTGTCGTGCCTGCCGGAAATGACGTGGAACCCGCGCATAGTTCCCATTCCTCTTACAAGCCTCGTCTATCAGGTGGACCTTCATATCCATCAACAAGTGGGTTGGTGACATCAGCCCTTGCGATACTATGTTGCTGCTCCCTACCTGTGTCGGTGGGTTCTTTGAAGCCCGCCAAGTTGAAGGTGATCGTCTTGAGGTCGAGGTTCGTTTTTGTTGCTGGTCTGCTCCTTGTTCGGCTGGAAGTGATCGGGTGCCGCCTGTGCTGTCGCAACTCCCGCGGCCAGGCCTCGGTTGGCCAGTCGGGGCTTGTGCGTTGTTTGTGTTCTCGTCGGCTTGGCGGGTCCATCTCAAATGCCTTTGGTATGTGGCGTAGAATGCCTCCACCCACTGTGGATGTGGGCGGGTGTCTTACCTTCAGCGTCCTCTTGGCGACAAAATTGGCATAAATACTCATTTCTTGGATGTCCCGTGTGGGCTTGCACGTGGTCGGTGTGCATTTGCTGTTGGTGGTTGGGGCTAGTTGGTAGAGCGGCCTGGTCAATGTCGCCACTTCGCAAGTCCCTCGTGCCCTGCACTTGCATTCTGCCAACACGTTGGCAACCCTGAGGTCGGTGTGGACTGTTGCTGGCGCGTTGTTGTTTGTACACGTGCGCTTGTGAGGAAAGTCATGCGCACGCCCACGCTATCGCCGCCAGCTATGTGGTCGTAGAGGTCGCCTTGCCTACGTCCGCTGCTGGTGCGTCCGCATCCCCGCTTTCTCCTAGTTTCCTCTTCTTCTTCCTCCGCCTCCGCTGGCCAGAAATCGTTACTTCCCAATGCCCCACAAACGGTCTCGAAGGGCTTGAGAATCAAGAACACAATCCTCCATTCCCCCGTCGTTCCTCATGACTCCTCCTCCTCCTATTCCTATTCCTCCTCCTCCTCCTCCTCCTCCTCCTCCCTATCCTCCTCCTGTTTCATATCACCTCATCCTCCCCCTCCTCCTTCACCTCCTCGTCCTCCTCCTCCTACTGAACCTCCTCCTCCTCCTTCTTCTCCTACTCTCTCCCTCCACACCTGGGGAGGGAAAGGGGGAGCGAGAAGGGAGCAGGAGGGCGAGGAGGTGGGACAGGGGAGGAGGGGGAACGGGAAATCAAGATGGGAGGTCTGCGGAATGAGGGGTTGCGTCCCGTCCTCACCTGAGACGGATGGACAATCCCCAGCGTGTGGAGCGCCCGAACGAATGGCAGAACCTCTGCATCGCGGACGCGGTGAGAGTGGCGGCGGCACCACCGCACCATGTTCTCTGCGAGCCCCTGCGTTGTTGCCACCCTCACGCTCAAAACAGAACCATCTGGCATTGCGATGCCCTCCATGCTGTCGATAAACTGCCAAGCTATTTCCTCGGTGACCATGTTAATGAATGCACACCCGGCGCATGCCCGCGACGAGTAGCACCGCGGCAGGTACAGATAGTCATACGTGTCCGCGAAGCCCTTGTTGCGTATCACCTGCTGCAGAGCTGCCTTCGTGAACTCCGCTGGTATCCGCAAGCGTGCCTTCTGCCACGATGAGGCCTGTCAGAATGCCGAGTGCTGACCAGCAAGGCTCCGAATATTCTGAGGGGCCATCGCCACTCTCGAAGCGCCCCCAACCTATCCCGAGCATTCTGAGCACCCCGACGCTTCCCTGGCGATGTCCAGAGCGTCCGAGATGCCCAAGATGGCTCTCTCATGCCTCGGCACACGGGGTGTCACACGTTACGGCATCTGATGGGCCTGTTTCCCACCACCACCACCACCACCACCATAAGTTGGAGGGGGATGGGGTCGTCCTCCTCCTCCTCCTCCTCCTCCTCCTCCTCCTCCTCCTCCTCCTCCTCCTCCTCCTCGCTCCCTCCTCCTCCTCCTCCTCCTCCTCCTCCTCCTCTCCTCCTCCTCCTCCTCCTCCTCCCCTCCTCCTCCTCCTCCTCCTCCTCCTACCTCTGCCTCCGCCTCCTCCTCCTCCTCCTCCTCCTCCTCCTCCATCCTCCTCCTCCTTCCTCCTCCTCCCTCCTCCTCCCTCGCCCCTCCAAGCCGTGGTGGTGGTGGTATAGGAAAAGCAGGCCCCTCAAGGATGGCCCCCTCAGGCCTCAGACCACCGGGTGCCGCACGTCACGGCGCCCCGTGCGCCCTCCGGCGGCCGCCGCCCGGGATGCCGACGCGTGGCGCGAGGGCGGCGGACCTGCCGCAGGCGGCCGGATGCCAGACACGCGCAGCGTGAGCTCCGTGGAGCTCGACACGCTGGCGGCCCACGCCCGTACCTGCTGGGACATGCGGGCGCGCTGCCCCATGCTGGGGGAGGACATGACATGCAAGCGGGGGGGGGAGCTCCTGCTCCTGCCATGGGGCCACAAACGGCTAAGATTGCGGTCCGGCATGTCCTCCTACGGGCGGATCTGGACGACGAGTGACACATACCCCAGAAATACGCCAAAATGATCCCCCGACTAATTTTTCCATGTTTGAAGTTCCTCCTGTAGAGGGACAGGCCCGCCTTACGGCTAGATGGGAAGAGGGCGAAGCAATCGGAGAAGGGCCAGTCGAGACAGGGGCGGCGCGCCCTGGAGTGCCTCGTCCAGTCTGGGCCGACCGGGAGCTTCTCGCCGCCGCTGGGCGACTTCCTCGCCTTCCCTGCGCGACGCGCGGTGGGAGAAGGGGCAGCCGACCTGGCCCGGAGCGCGAGGCGAGAAGCGCGGTAGTCTTCGCGCCCCCGCGGGTGATCTGGCCCCTGGCCACCCTCAATGCCCTCGCCAGACTCCATGGTTCCCCTGGCAAGCCAGCGGCAAGAAGTTCGACGAATGCGTGGCAGCGTCGATGCGTGCTGGGCCCTGGCCACCCTCAGTGCCCTCGCCAGACTCCATGGTTCCCCTGGCAAGCCAGCGGCAAGAAGTTCGACGAATGCGTGGCAGCGTCGATGCGTGCTGGGCCCTGGCCACCCTCAGTGCCCTCGCCAGACTCCATAGTTCCCCTGGCAAGCCAGCGGCAAGAAGTTCGACGAATGCGTGGCAGCGTCGATGCGTGCTGGGCCCTGGCCACCCTCAGTGCCCTCGCCAGACTCCATAGTTCCCCTGGCAAGCCAGCGGCAAGAAGTTCGACGAATGCGTGGCAGCGTCGATGCGTGCTGGGCCCCCCGCATCGCAGAGCTCGCTCCCGCCAGAATGCTTTGTGGGGCAACGAAGCAGCAGTTCCGCGCTGACCGAACTACAGCCCCCAAAGGACGCGGAGAAGGAGCGACGGGCTGCTCTGGGCTCGAGACTGGACAGCCAAGACACGGGCTCGCAGGAGGTGCTGCTTCGAGGACGAGCGAAGGGCACCAGGGCAGCACACGAGCCCGCCGCACTCTTCTGCAACTGAAGGGGCCATGGGACACACAAAAAATATAGACACGAACAACAGGACTCCCCATATATCTTCCCATACTTTCTGGGCCTTTGTCTTCTCCCCCACCTCCCTAGGGGAACAAACAATGGCATAAACATAAAAACTCTGACGTCCGCGCGGATCCGAGAAATCCGCGCGGGCCTCCGAGTTGTATGTTTGTGTCATTGTTTGCTCCCCCACTTCCCACATCGTCCCATATTTTCGGGGGACCACCCTCGCTTCCAAGAGATACCAAACGATGCCCAATTGCAGCCTGTACTGGTCAGGCCACTTGACGAGGGGGCGCGTGGCATGGCTTGGTTTTGCCTGGAAGCGAAAGCGGGGTAGGCAATTCACGCTCTGACATATATCTTCCCATACTTTCTGGGCCATTGTCTTCCCCGCCGCTTCCCACATCTTCCCATATTTTCGGGGGAGTCGACGCTGAATGCGTCGACTCTCGACGCTGAATGAGTCGATCATGATGATGCTGATAATGATGGTGACGAGGAGGAGGAGGAGGAGGAGGAGGAGGAGGAGGAGGAGGAGGGGGAGGAGAGGGAGGAGGAGGGAGTCTGTGCGTGCTTTTTCCCTCCTGAGCAAGTGGCAGTCCAATGACGAAGGCCCCCCCGGCCCTCGCCGGGCCCCGCGCCGCGCCGGCGCGCCGGCGCACTGTCCTCCCCCCAAGAGTGGAGGGGCCCTGGGACACACAAATAGATACACAGAAATAAAAGGATTCCCCACAGTTCCCCATATTTTCTGGGGGTTTATCTTCCCCCCCCACTTCCCATACTCTCCCATACTTTCACGGGAATCGGCGATGCATTGTGTCTGTCTGTGTTTTTTCCCCTCCTGACGAAGATGCACCCCAGCCGCTGCAGCGGCCGAGGGGTGCGAGGCGGGAGCCTGTCCACAGCCGCCGCCGGGGGAACCGACGCCCTGGGCAGGGCTGAACCTAAAGGGCGTTCGTCGTTTTCGTCGTGTGTTCGCGTACCTGCGCTCGTGTCCCTCGAATCCGCCTTTCTACCGCAGAGCGAAGCCGAAACGAAAGCGGCCCACGAAAGCACCAACGACACCGTTTACGTCCAGCCCTGGCCCTGGGACCTCAGGCGGCGGCGGAGACGGACCCCTGCGGGCCCCGGGGGCCCCGGACAGAGCCATGTCTGCAGCCTGCCGGTGTCCGCGAGGAGCGATCCCCCAGGAGGTGGGCATGGGCAGGTCCTCGTGCGCCTCGTCTCTGTCGGGGCGGAGCAGTGACCGAACCTGTGCACCGGTATCTGCCCGAGTGGGACCGAAACCTGTGCCAGACAGTTCTTGTTGTCCGAATGCGCTGGACCAGAAATGCTCGGTTCGGTTTTGAAGCAGGCCTAGGACTTTCGAGCGACTTCGTCCTGATGTTCTCTTGTGCTTATTTTCTTCCTCTTCCTCTCCATGTCTACGTTCCTCCAGGTTCTAACTTTCGTTCAACTGTCCCTGTTCAGTTGTTCCTGATGTACAACTCGTGGGCTCGAAATCACTACGATGTTCCATGGCAGTCATACGTTCGGTCACTCTGCGCGTTCGGTCACAATCTCCGGCGCGTTTGCGGTCACCGATGGTGTTCGGTCACATGCCCTTCTGGCTGATAGGGCCCGGGCGCCAGGCTGCATACTGAGACATGTGATGTCCTGACTTGTGTGGCACGGGCTCCCCAAGAGTCCCGACCTGTTCCCCGGCACCGGCTTTTCATCCCGGGTCGTTGCTTGACGGCCCCGGGACCCCGCGACGGCCCCCGGCCGGGGGCCGGAAACCGCCCAAAACCTCCCGTCCGGATATGTTTTTCCCCGAGGCGAGCATGTCTGGGCACCCGCCTCGGAGAGGAGCCCGCCGCAGGTGCCGACTTCTTCTGACAATGTGCTGCCGCGACGGGCCTGCCCGAGCACCTGCCAAGCAGGCCGGGACGGACCGGACCCACCAGGGGCGACCGGGTGGGCTCGAACGCCGCCCCAGACATGCTCGCGTCGTTCAGAAGAGCAGGGCGGAAGGGTCTTTCCCTCCTTTTCGGCGCCTGCAGGTCCTCACCGAGCCCCTGGTCTGTCAAATTATTCGACGTGGAGGTCCCCATATGTGCATCCCCTACCCTTATCACGTCTCGCTGAGAAACTCTGTCTGTGAGCATCTGGGTGTGAGAGCGAGTCAGCGTAGACGACGGGCGCGACAGCGACGACGACGACGACGACGACGACGACTTCAGTGACGTCCTCCTCCTGGGCACAGTTCAGGAGAGATGAGGGAAGCACAAGACCGCGATCAAATCTGAGTGTGACGGAGTGTGAGTGAGCCCGGTATAATTGAGCTTTAGAATGAGTGAGCCTAGGTATGCGAGAATCTGAGTACGAGAGGGTCTGAGTATGCGTACCAGTCGGTCGGAAGAAGGTAGAACCATGAAGTACGAGGGCTTTGTGAAAATAGAGTGGGCTTCAGCCCGCCTCCTGAAGAGAAGAGAAGGGGGAAGACCACTCCATCCTTGAAGTAGTAAGATGGCTAAAGAAGAATGGGATCTGGGAGTCACGAAATTCCCACTTCAACGACCGACGGGTCAGTCTGAATATGAGTGGGTCTGACTGCGACTGAGTCTGAGTGTGAGTAAGCCTGAGTGGGAGTGGATCCGAGTAGAAGTTTGATGAGAAGAAATCTGTGTTTGAGTGAGTCTGAATCTGAGCATGAGTGAATATGGGGGTGGGTGAGTCTGAGTTTGAGTGAGTTTGATTGTGAGACAGTCTGAGTGTGAGTGAGTCTGAGTATGAGTATGATGAGTACAAGTCTGAATCTGAGTGGTCAGCGACTCGCCTGAGACATCCTAACAGTCTGCTCTGACAACAAAGGAGTCGGGGGCTCGGAAACGGGCAAACCGCCCAAAAAATCCGCACAATCTTGGCGCGAACGGATCCGTGTGAAATACCCCCTGGCGGCTCACCCTTGGGGTGCTGAAACCAGCGCCTCGCCTGATACATCCTAACAGTCTGCTCCGAAAGCAGAGGAGTCGGGGGCGTCGGAACAAGCAAACCACCTGAGACATCCCCACAATCTGGGCGCGAAGAGGCCCGTGAAATAGCCCCTTGCGGCTCCACCGCGACAATACTGAAGCCAACGCCTCGCCCAAGACATCATCACGATCTGTTCCGAAAGCAGAGGATGCTGGGCACGCAAACAAGCAAACCGCCTGAGACATCCCAACAATTTGGGCGCGAAGGGGCCCGTGAAATAGCCCCTTGCGGCTGCCCTTCGGGAGTGCTGAAGCCAACGCCTCGCCCAAAACATCCTCACGATCTGCTCCGAAAGCAAAGGATGTTGGGCGTGGAAACAGGCAAACCGCCTGAGATACCCCCACCATCTTGGCGCGAACGGGCCCGTGAAATGGCCCCTGGCGGTTCCCCCTTGGAGTGCTGAGAGCAGCGCCTCGCTTGACACATCCTCATAAGCTACTCCGAAAGCAGAATGTGTTGGGCATACAAACAAGCAAGCAAATCGCCTGAGACATCCTCACAATCCAGGCGCGAACGGAGGAATGAGATACCCCCATCACGGCTCCCCTTTGGAGCGCCGCCTGAGACATTATGAGCATGCGCGAGTCTGAATGAGGACATGATGCGACTGAGTTTAGGTGGAGGGAAGAGTGAGTCTGAGTATGAGTGAGTCTGGCGTGATGAGGTGATGCGACTGAGTCTGAACATGCGTGAATCTGAATATGAGTGAGTCTGAGTGTGCGCCGGTCTGAACAATGAATGAGTCCCAGCGTGTTTGAGGAGTGTGAGTGGGTGTGAGCGTGAGGACGAGAGGAAGGAGGCAGGTTGGGGAGGAAGGCGGTTAGAGACGACGCGGCCTGAGCAATTACAAAAGAGCCCCCCTCTCCCAGGATACGGGGAAACATCAAGCAACGAATCAGGACGGTTCCTGCCTGGGCCAGGAAGCGCGGGGAAAACGGAGGACCCCCAGGGGGAGGAGGAGGAGGAGGAGGAGG